TATTGTTGAAAATAAAGATTTTTGCAAGTAAAGAACTTATTGGTCATCTTAAGGCTCTCTTTGATGTCATATGGGAAAGCGGAGAGGTACCTCAGGACTTTTGCAATGCGAATATAGTGAATATATTTAAGAATAAAGGAAGTGCATCAGACTGCGGAACCTACCGAGAAATTTCACTATCGGAGGAAAAATTCTTGCAAAAATTATGTCAAACCGCCTGCACCCACATATAGAAAAAATCCTTCCAGAATCGCAAACGGGTTTTCGCACCAACCGCGGTACCGTCGATTCGATATTCTCCATCCGGCAAATACAGGAAAAAGTAAAAGAGCAGTAGTCTAAACTTTACGTTGCATTCATCGATCTAACAAAAGCCTTCGACTCTGTGAACAGAGATACACTTTGGGCAATTATTAAAAAGTTCGGAGTACCCATCAAATTTCTTCATAACAACAACAAATCAAGAGTGTCATGTCATGGATCACTGAGCGATCCCTTCCTAACAAACACAGGCGTTAGGCAGGGATGTGTCTTAGCGCCTCTCCTATCCAATATATTCATGGCAACGCTCTCCATTATAGTGGACAGCAAACTGCAGGAGAGAGGTTTGGACATTAGATACAGATACGACGGCTGTCTGTTCAACAGAAAAAGACTCAGGGCCAGAACACGTACAAAATTCATCACAGAACTTCAATACGCTGATGACTGTGCTCTAGTTGCAAATACGTTACAGCAATTGCAAGAAATGTTGAACACATATACATGGGCATACGAGGCTTTGGGACTTAAGCTGAACATCGATAAAACTAAAATCATGTGCACTCCCCCGGAAGATCACAACAATGCTATAAAAATCGGAGATGAGCTGTTGGAATATGTAGCGGAATTCAATTACCTCGGCAGTTTGATTTCGAAAAAGGCCAATATCGACTCTGAAATTCAGCACAGGATTAGCAGCGCTTCAAGAGCATTCTGGAAATTAAAAGACAGGGTTTTCTACAATCATAACTTGAGCACAAAAACGAAACTTGAAGTGTACCGAGCGATAATAATTCCCACCATGTTATATGGAAGCGAACCTGGGTGCCGTACCGCCGACACATGAACGCATTAAAGAAGTTGCAACAGAGACATCTTAGACAACTCTTAAGAATAAAATGGTTCCTTCATGTCTCAAACGTATCGGTCCTTGAAAAAGCTAACTGCGAGAGTATTGAAGTCATGATTACAAAGTCCCGCTTAAGATGGGCTGGTCACGTATGCAGAATGCAAGAAAACCGCATACCAAAATCGCTGCTTTACGGTGAGCTTGTAGACGGTAAGAGGAGGCCGGGTGGACGACTCAAAAGGTTCAAGGATATTTTCCACGAAAACTTAAAGGGAACAAGCAGAATGAGTGGGAAGAGGCAGCTCACAATAGAACGGAATGGAGAAAAATTGTAAAGTCAGTTAAGAGCGACAACCAAAAAGTAAAGAGGCAACAAAGCAATGAGATTTTTGAATGTCTGGAGTGCGGTAGACAGATAACATCACGTATCGGACTTTTCAGTCACAGAAAAGCTCATGAAAGAAAACGCCTTGCGTGACCATCTTCTGATGTGTGTCAAATACTCGTCAGCAAGTAATGGCGGTATGGTATTGTTGAAAATACCTTATTGTTTTTTTCTGTGTAGTATTCAAATAAACTGCTATTTGGTATGGTGCAATTCATGACAATTTCCACAAGGGCATAATTTTTCCACCTCGAAACTCGACGACTCGGATTTGAACGTAACTTTTAAAATTTTCGAAATTGTTAAAAGTATTTCTAAGAAATTTGTCGTTTTCTCCGTCCCCCGTCTATTTCCAGACTTGTCACTGCGCTGTACTGTGTAGACTTCATTCTAGCTCGAGGAGAAAATTTAGCTCGGATGCGAAATTTAACTTATGCAAAGCTGCGGGACTATTCTTTTGAGCTTTGCCACGGTCGTTCGGCAGAACGAACTTTAAAGTTATATTCCCGGCATGTTTAAGCCTTCTTATTTTTATACGTAACAAATTGCAAACTGCTCGCAAGAAGCGGATTCTTCGAAAGAAGCTTATGTATAACCGGTAATTTTAGTAAGATATATACGGGTGCTACAAATTCGAGGTACGAGCATTGGTATCTCGGAAACCGTAATAGATACGAAGATGGTTAAATTGGGGCAAAGTTGCGCCTTGGGATGTTCACCAAGATGCTTTCAAAAAAGATTTTAAAATTTCAAGGATTGCTGAGTTTTATGGAAAAAAACGAATTTTTTTAAAAGTCAATTTTATTTTTTCCTGTCGTTACTTTTTAGAAAATCAAAAAACTAATTACATATTCTCATAGCCACTTTATTAGGGATATCTGACAGTATTTTTAGATTTTCAATTTAGCTGATAGTTTGTGAGATACAGAGGCCGACTTAATTTTTTTAAATACGGACCTGCATTTTTTATTCCAGTTCTTGAAAGAACTCGGTCTCCGGAGTACAACGATATGCCACACTTTATACTTTTTTTTTTGTTTTGGGTACCTTCACAACAACAAAACTATTTATAATGATTTTTTTAAAATATTTTCAAGTCCGACCCTGGTTTCTTAAAATATTTAATCTGATTATATTCATTGCAACAATATTGATCAGCGCTAATTAAAAAATCGAGCCAATTGAAAGATCCAGATAAATAATATCCAGCTCAGCAATTTAAAGATATTATTTTAACTTTTTTATTGTGAATTTGAAATTCTTAGTGTACGATCTAAAAATATGCATAATATTAATCGTAGTTATTAGAAATAAATCACCTTCTACAAACTTGTTTCTGATGCTCTACATGTTCGAAAGGGTTACCACCTTGCGTATTACACAAATTTATTATTCTTTCAATTTTATTTATAGCTTTTTGAACATATCTTCTTATACTTCCGAATGCATTTTGTACTCTTTATTGTAAATGTTGAAAAATATTGATTTCACTTTTACAAATGACGTCAAGTAATGCAATTGTTTTTTTTATTGAATTTGATTTTTTTTATTCAATGTTTTACCCCACGTCATAGTTAAATTTGAAGGCTTATCAATATTGTAACGGTGAATAATTTAAATATTTAAAAAACAAAGCCGGACTTGAAATTAGTTTAAATAAATTTTATGTTTAAATGTCCAAAACAAAAAAAAAGTATAAAGTGCGGCATATCATTGTACTCAGGAGACCGAGTTCTTTCAAAATCTGAAATCGGCCTCTGTATCTCACAAATTATCAGCTAACTTGAAAATCTAAAAATACTGCCAGATAGCCCTAATAAAGTGGCTATGATTATGTGCAATTAGTTTTTGGATTTTCTAAAAACTAACGACTGAAAAAAATAAAATGGTTTTTCCAAAAAATCCGTTTTTTCCAAAAAACTTAGTAATCCTTGAAATTTTTAAAACTTTTTTTGATGGAATTTTGGTGAAAATCCCAAGGCGCAACTTTGCCCCAATTTAACCATCTTCGTATCTATTACGGTTACCGAGATACCAATGCAAGAATTTGTAGCACCCTATATATATATATGGTTTTTGAAAATATTTTCTTTCAAGCTCAATTTGATGTTTACAACAACATTTCGGTCAGATGAATCAGTGACTACTATTATCAAGTGTGAACTAATCTAATTCACAAAGCTATTTTGCTGGTGCGCTAGAGCAAGACATTAGCTGCCCATACACGGAAAAACTTGGCCTCAACGAGATACCATAATAAAGAAAGCAAAGCCACAGTCCGCGGACTTTGCCTTTCATACAAAACTATGGAAGACTCTAGGAAAGACTGACCTCAAAATACCATAGTTTTGTATGAAAGGCAAAGTCTTTCCGTTTTGTGTGAAAGGCAAAGATGCCTTTGCCTTTGTTTATTATGGTAATTAGGGTTATTATTTTTTATTGAATAAAATTGCCACAAAATAAGATTAAAGTTAATAACTTTAATCTTATTTTTTTTTAAACCAGTACCTTTTGACATTACCTCTCTGCAATACTAAAATTTATTATTTACCTATATCGTGTAATGTTATTTTACAGATACTCCAGTTTTTGGTGTCATACGAGATGGTATACAAACTTTATTTATGGCTAGTACAACTCTCTGGCCATAATCTCTGGCAAACCGTATATCTGGCTCTGGCGGCCTCTGGGCAGCAAATAGTAACTGTAAACTATGGTCTGGGTCAACACTTAATTTTCAATCGAGTTTTCCTCCACTTAATTTTAAAAAAAAACACGTAATAAAATGCAAAATATTTTTCATTTCTATTTAACATAATTTGACACAAGTTTATAACCTATAATCTGGCAAGAGTTTGATTCTCTACTCTCAAAAATCTTAAGTCAAGTTCATACGCATCGGCGCGGCGTTCGGTTGTCGTTCATCGTTCCATCAAACCAATGATACTGAAACATGATCTATCATTTTTGAAATAAACCAATAACCATAGTTAACTTAAAAAATATTAGAAACTTTTTTTAGTGAAATAAATGGATTGGTATCGGCGTCATTTTTTTTTCTGTCATAATCTGTCGAAATCTTACCTGAGAAAAAAATGAGTATTGCTAAGTAAGTAAATGCGAGTAAATGCGAAATGTGAGTAAATGCTTGGTCACTGCTTAGTTAAGCTTATATAAAGCTTGTATAAAGCTTATATAAAGTTCTGACTATTTCTGTCTTGCTTGGTTGGGAATGGTTTGACTGAGAACATAAATACTGCCTTTTTTGGTTTTATACATACAGAGATAACGATCAGCAACACATCTGACCAATTAGTGCACAGAATCAAAAGTAACTTTCTGTACTAAATTAAAAAAATAATATCTATCTACTATATCATTTAAACTGTATAGTTATGCTTTTATCATTATATCATAAATGAACGAACGTCTGGAGTTTTTCACACTGCTTATTTCTTAAAATTATTTGAAATAAACATATTTATTTATTATATTTTTTTTCAGTACCAGTATATGGCTGAAGGACGGCCAAATAGTGCAGACCATCCTAAAAGACAATACGAACAATAAACGAGTGATCGGTCACCGGTTCTTAGTTGATGCCAGTGGCAATTTGTTTATAGACAACGTCCGATTAGAAGACGATGGAAAATGGCAGTGCGAGGCAGAGGACGCTTTCGGATTTGTCGTTCAAGGCAAACCAATCCAGCTAACAGTACTAGGTAAGTACTATTAAGAATATCTTCTTCTTATGGTATAATTTTCAATGAAGGTTACGAATGTTTGCATCTCCCAATTTCTCTACTGTCTTTTATATCTTCCCTTTGATAAATAATTAATTTTAGGAGCTTGCTCTGTTATTCCGAATAACATTACTCATTCAAGCTTGATTTTCATGCATCCGTTATCCGTTGATACGATGCGATGGTCCGACCGCTCTTTGATTAGACTTTTCGCGCCACTTTTCATCCGTAAATTTTTTACTCCAGCCCGTCAACAGAGAAGGACTGTACGATAACGGACGTTTTGACACTTTTTTGACAAATTTAATCTAACCTTAATAAAATATAATAGTACAAGAGCTAGCAACGTCGGAAAAACGAAAGTTGGTTCTTTAATATATTTTTTGCTATGCTCTCCTGCGCTCTCCTGACCAAAGTGCGGGCCGTCTGGCTGCCGGTAGACTACTGCAGTTCACTACTGCGCATCGCATCTGTACAGGGTATCCCATTTTCGTGTGGTTTTGAGACACAATGATGCGATTTTCACATTACTTTGCATTATTTTACATTCATTTTACTTTTTTATGAAACTAAATATGCTATACATATGTTTGTCCTAGCCTCCTAGTTCCTAAAATACAGGGCGAATTTGTGATGCGGAGTAGCGAACAGATGTTGAATACAGATATAATGCGCAGTAGTGAACGCAACGTCTACCGGCAACCAGACGGTCCGCACCCTGTTCAGGAGAGCATAGCAAAAGATATATTAAAGAACCAGCTTTCTTAAAATTCTCTCTCGAAAACGTTTTTAACTTCTACACCCTGTATCTCCGAAACTAAGCATTTATGGACATACATTTATACGAACTTTTTTACTTATTTTTATGTGCAGAATATGCTGCCGAAGTTTCCGGAATACAGTTCGGACCAACCTGTAGATTTTCCGTTCTTTGTGAGTTCTATTATTCCTGCAAGATGATTAGAAATTACAAATAATTTAATTCCTTTAAACTAACATCATTAACAGAGACTATAAATACATAGCAAGCATTGTAAGCATTGTATAAAGATAACCTCATGCATTTTCCAACAAAACATTTACAACAAGCGAGACCAGCTCTGTTAATGCATATTTTCCTCTTCCCATTGCTTAATCTCCGGGTATTTGGGCTAAATTGAAAATAAACCATTTTTTTTCGTATTCAATTAGAGCCAAAGTTATGTGACTGGAATACTGATCAAGTTGTTTGGATGCACATCGCGTGCTTTAGCGTAATTTTACATTTTTGTGCTTTTGAGGATGACGTTTTTCGAGGTGGAGATTTAAAATTAGCCAGGTTAATTTAAAAAGGTAGTTAGGTAATTTTCTAATGAAGGAAATGAAAAAATAATATATAAAAACTTCTTTACCAGAGTATTTCTGTCCAATATTCTGATTTTGAAAAATATTTCTATAGACATGCAGTGTAAAATTTATTTTTTAGAATGGAAAAATATTTTTTGCAGTTTTAAGGTATATAATAAAATTATATAAGAGTTTCTTGCCTCTTGAACTGCTATATAGAAATGAATTCCACACTGTGTTCGTTATTTATTTTTGGATTAAAGTTTTTTCTTCTTAACTAAATTTGCGGGAAAATTTTTCTTCCAAACATATCACTATCATATTTAAACAGTGGTAGTTTTTGATCTGTTATAGATGTAGTGCTGCAGAGTTTAACAATCTGCACTTATTTTAAAGAGTTAAACTGCACTTATTTTTTTATCTGCCTAATAAATTTCATTTTTTTCAAACGTCACAAAAGTATACATTTTTGCGACGTGATTGACAATATAAAAACGTCATTTTAACGCCTAGACATAAAAGTGAAGCACTTTTGCGCCTAAGCACAAAAGTACGAAAATATATTATTAAAATGACATAAAGTATTAAATTCAACGAGCATAACCATAGTCGATATATAATTACTTACAAGGTATTAATTTTAAATCTTTTTATATTATTTGGAACGTTTAAAATTGTTTAACAAATTATTTGTGGCATTTGAATAGAGCATGTTCTATTCGGAGTGAACATTATTTTTTGTGCCTCGCCTGTAATGTCAAATGAACAACCTCGCCACAAAAAGTATCATTTTTACTCCTAATAAAACAATATAATATTTTTCAGCCACAAAAAAAGTATAAATTTTTGTGACGTGACTTTACAGGCGAAGCACAAAAATTACATTTCTAATCCGAATAGAACATGCTATTATTTTTCAAACGTCACTAATAATTTCTTAAACAATTTCAAACGTGGCAAATATAAAAAGTATTACCTAGTAAGTAATTATACAGTGTGAATCTAAAATAAGTGCAAATATTTTCAGGGCTGGTAGATCTGGATAAAAGAAACATATTTTCTCTTTATCGTTTTTCAAATAAGTCCAAAATAACCGTGTCATTTTACTTTGAAAACTTCCAAAAAAAAGTCCAAAATAACAGAGGTAATTTACCTTGAAGAGTAAAAAAAATATATTTTTTGTTTAAATTTTGAGAACCAGTGGATCTTTTCTAAAAATTCTGATTTTCAAAAAAATATTGCGAAGAAATAATCATAGAGGTAAAAAAAGGTTTCTGAGGTCGAAATATACTACCCTTAAAAATATTTAAACTTATTTAAGACCCACCCTGTATATCCATTCAGTGCACTTGGATTTCATGATTCATTCTTTCTGAGACAAAATTGACACCTTTTTAGACAATTTTAAACCTTCTTTGCACATGTAATGTTTCAAAATAATGCACTTTAGTCGATCTTGTTTGTTCCTTGGCACCCAAAAAAAGTGTTTCTTAAATTTTAGTGACATGATTGCGACTATCTGGTAGCACACACACCTACACACTACGATTAAAGAATTCAAGAGGCGATATATAATTTTAATATTGGTTCCAGACCAAGCAGGCAGAACAACGACAAGACAGAAACATTCATGTTTTACGACAAAATTGCAACAAATCCTGCGACATTTTTGTCTCATTTTTGTTTTGTTTCAAAATGAGACTTTTCAATATCCCGTCTCGAGTCGGTAAAGATCAAAGTATCTACGCTTTGTTCGTATGTTTTACAAGTTGTCGGCGCAGTGTGGATGGCGTGTGCTGCCAACAGTAGGAGACTAGTGAAATCACACATGGTTAATAAAACTCATTCGCAACAACTAAACTTTTAACTTTGTTGTACTTTTATCCTTGCGGTGTGGACAATTGGTCTTGTCAGAATTCCCCATTTTTTGTCGCAAGTTTATCTTGTTTTTGTCTCAAAATCGTGTTTACTTTTTGTCGCCTTGGTCTGGACCCGGCATAATATACCCTGAATATACCTCTCAAGGTATCCAGGTCACCAAAATACCCCGCGCCAGTACTAGAGGTTTAAACAAATTAAATTGTGTTGAAACTACACAAAATAAAATAAAACAGCTTTATGCTTTTAGGCAAATGGTCTTTAAGTAAAAGTCACTGGACAAGAAAAAATATTGCTCTAATTTCTAGAACTAGGAAAAACATTAAAACGAATGGTGCGCTGTAAAAGCCTGGCCCAGCTAAAAATAAGTTTTTTTGGTGAATGCAGTCTCTGCAACAGACTGTTTCGCCGCCAGTGCATATATAATAAATAACTGCAAAAATGCGACGACTGGCTTCTTCCTGCTTGCTGCAGTTTTAATTATATTATAAATTATGGAGCGGAACGTTGTTTCGTTTTAGAGTCGGAGAATATTTTCTTGTTTATTAAAGATGTTTTTAACGAAATATGCAGAAATATTACAGAAAAATGTGCATTATAAATGCTTAACTAAGCATTGAAAGAATTTCATTTTATTACGTTTGCTGTTATTACACAAATTAGCCTTTTTGAAATCAGTATATCTCGTTTTTTCAAGTGGGTTTGTATATTCATCACCATCTTCAGCTTATTCATCCATTTTCAATTATGGTTTTTGTAGCTTCCCTCACATATTTAGATACTCTCTTTGTAGTTGCGCCCATTATTATCTATTGTTAGCTATGCGGGGCCAAGTTATCCCTGCTAATTCCCTAATATCATGCTCCCATTTCAGGTTCAGTCTTCTTCTAGGTCTCTTCATTCCTCTTGGGTACCATGCTGTAATATTTGAGGTCCATCTGTTGTCCGTTCTTCTTGCCAGGTGTCCTGCCCGTTACCACTTAAGGGATTTGACTCTGTAGATGATGGTATCTATTACCTAGGTCTTTTGTCAAATCCACTCTATTCTTTTGCGATTTTTCTTGGTTATTCCCAGCATATTTCTTCCCATTGAGCATTGTGCGACCTGCAGTTTCCTTATAGCGTCCGCTTTAAGTGTTCAGGTTTTGCGTGCATAGGTCAAGACTGGTAGTAAACATTGGTCGAATGTTTTCTTCTTTAGATACAGTGGAATTCTATATTTGAACATGATTGAGTTTCTTACCTAAGTAGCCCATGCTAACTTAATTATTTTTTTGATTTCTGGTAGTAGGGATCCCGAACTGTGTATTAGTTATCCCAAGTATATACAGGGTGCTACAAATTCGGGGTACGAGCATTGGTATCTCCGTAAACGTAATAGATACGAACATGGTTAAAATAGGGTAAAGTTGCGCTTTGGGATGTTCATTAAGATGCCATCAAAACAGTTTTCAAAATTTCAAGGATTGCTGAGGTTTTTGGAAAAAACGATTTTTTTTGAAAATCAATTTTATTTTTTCCTGTCTCATAGCCACTATTTAGGGCTATCTGATAGTATTTTTAGATTTTCAAATTAGCTGATAGTTTGTGAGATACAGAGGCCAACTCAATTTTTTTAAATACGGACCTGCATTTTTTATTTCAGTTTTTGAAAAAACTCTGTCTCTTGAGTACGATGATATTCCACACTTTATATTTTTTTTGTTTCAGACATTTGAACACAATTTATTTAAACTAATTTCAAGTCTGGATCTGTTTTTTTTTTTAATATTTAA